CAAGCTACGAAACTGCTATTCCAGTTCAAAACCCCATGTTAAAAGTGAACTATTTCCTTTAAACGGTGCGAAAGTGACGTGGATGAAGGTTGATTTTTCCGGAAATAAATTTGTTCAAAAATAGTTGTTTTGAACAAGTTTTGTTCAAACGAATTTGTTCCAAAATTGTTTTAAAAAAATGAACAAGACTAGCTATGCTTGAAGCGTGACTTTGAGGTACCGAGAAGATTTGCCTAATACGGTCAACAGTTTCCACTTCAGAGACCGCAAACTTTTTTCCCCTCCATAGGCTCAAAACGTCGTGGAACAACTCATTACTGAAATATGCAATATGCATATTGCATATGCATTATGCACTGGGCAACTTGCGGGTTATGTCACATATAACCACTGTTATTCCAGAAAAATGTTAGCCCGATGGTCAAACTTCTTTCTACTTTCTATTTGGCGCTGTTTGAACGCATTACTCCAAGAGTAAGATCTATCAGATACGCAAACACTGTCTATTCCAACGGTCATTGGACGAAAAACATTTACCAATTATCAGCTAGGTGACTCGTCAAGGCGGCAGCGCTCTGCTACAAGCAACATAAAGGCCGCCCCGTACTGGACCTCGCATGCGGGTTGCGAGTTTTTGGGCTTTCGGGTTTCTTCAAAATCAAATAATACCAGTAAAACGCCTTTTGGGCGAAGAACGAGCGAGCGAGATAGTGAGCCCTGCACGTGCGGAAGGGCGAGAGGTTGCTTCCAACGGGCTTGCGCAAAGCACCCTTCTAACCGGTCGCTAGCGGTGTGCCAAATTTGAACGCAATCGGCCCAGCCGTTCATGAGATCTGGAAGCGGCATTCTGCACGTGCGCACGTGCAAACGGGGTCCAAACTGACTTTTGCACGGCACCCTACTAACTGGTCTCCAACCGTGTACCAAATTTGAGCGCAATCGGCCCAGCCGTTCTCGAGATCTGGAAGCGCCCCCTGCACGTGCGCACGTGCAGTAGCACCTTAACTGCAACACATGGGAATGCATTGCCTGGTGGGTGCCTACCTGTATGCCAAGTTTCAGCGAAATCGCCCCAGTAATTACCGAGTTATTAAAATGGGAACAAATTTGACACCTCTTATTGTTGTATTTTGCACGTGCACTGGGGGTGACCCACATGCATCGAGAGTATCCTATTTTGGGTAGAAGGGATGCTGCTACCCTACAAAAATTACCGCAAGTCAATCGCCCAAGCGGATGCTGAGATATGAGCCTCTCAAAATCACTACTTATGCAAAACAGCTTGAACAGCCTTGACTTTTCACGTGGCACGTGCCACGACGGTCACTGAGATGTATCAAAAGTAGTCAGTTACGGGGTAGAAGGGATGGGGCTACCTAACAAAAAAGACCGCAGGCCAATCGGTCCAGCGGTTGCTGAGATATAAGCCTCTCAAAAGCGTTACAGGCCGGGCCGGGCCGGGCCGGGCCGGGCCGCTCATACTGAGATTTTTCCGTTATATTGAAAAGACTCACTTCGCTCGCTGCGCTCGCTCGCTCGTAACAATCTAAGCTGAGTGACCCACACTACCATCTAAAAGCGAGTCTGCATGTTTCTAGCTTGCAAGCGACCTTGCATCGCATTCCAAAAGTTGATTTTGAATCAACTTTCGATTTTCCTCGCTGCGAGGTCTGCGAGTTCTGCGAGGTTTGCGGGTTTTTCGTTGGAGTCGAATTTTGGTTCGTTGCGCTGGTATTGCGACTATATGTAAGTTTCTGAAGGTGTTACGGCTTCACTGCATTCTGACTATGAAATTTCACTGCACTATGAAATATGAATTAGTATTACGCCCGCAAACTCAAAACCCGCAAACTCGCAACCCGCATGCGAGTTCCAGTGTGGGGCGGCCTGAGGCGGAAACGTTTCGTGAAACTAACTGAATTTTCATCAACCCCACCGAAAGTGATCTGTAAAAAAAACACACACACACACGCACCACGAAAGTGCAAATAGGTCAAACTGCTAAGCTGTGTTTGGATGAAAAACATTTATTCCGTATCAAACCAGCAATGCAACACATCAACTACCACATGCCCCTGAACAACAAGATACAAAACATGTTTCGAAACTTTAATAGCCCTAAGGCAATCACACCATAGCTATCAGTAAATTGTTTACCAGCTAACCCCATAAATGTTATAGCATCTACCCAAAACACTATCAAAATAAAAGCACTCTTCGCGATGTCGCAGATCACATATCAGATCAACAATATCAATAAAAATTGCACTTCTGCAAAATATAATCACTATGACATCTCTAACTCTTTGAATGGTAGGATCCAGCTGATTGGTTCATTGGTCATTGGTCCGATGGTTCAGATCATTGGTACGATGTCTGAGTGGCGGCCGGGGCCAGCTGGATGGGATGGCGATCACAGGTACCGCAGGAGGCCGACCAGCTCCTGGACGCCGCAGGGACCGCGCTCAGAGGCGGCCGCCACCTGGCGCTGCACCTCCCGCAGCACGGCCATCCGGGCGCGGTGCTCCCGGCGCCGCAGCTCGGCGTCGCGCCGGAGCTGCTCCAGCTCGGCGGAGGGCGCCGTCAGACGGCGCACCACCTCCCGCAGCACGGCCAGCCGGGCGCGGTGCTCCGCGGCGCGCAGCCGGGCCTCCTGGCGCAGCGCCGCCAGCCGCGCACGGTGCTCCGTCCACAGCAGCGCCGTGCGCAGCTGCAGGTAGCGCTCCTCGGGCTTGGACGCGGCGGCGGCGGCGGCTGGCTCGGCGTCCCGCTGCCCTCCTCCCCCGCCCAGCCGGCGCGCCCACCGCAGCAGCTCGGCGCGACTGCCGGCCGGCCGGCGCGCCCGCCGGCGGCCGCCGCGGCGCCTTGTCGGCGGGGGACCTGTCGACCCGCGCCGCGTTAGGGCACCGAGATCTGAAACACGACAGCGCCGGCTCAGCCAGCAGCCGTCCCGCGTCGGTATGTGAGCGGCGCTGATCCGTTGGCCACCGCCTCTCCGGTGACAGATCCTCTTCTAACCAGCACAGCCACACACTGGCCGTCCCGAGCCGCAGCGGCTCAGTCTCCGCCAACACAGAGAAAACGCACGGCAGCGAGCTGGCCCGCTTGCTGCTGAGGAGGAGCGTTTGAACAACGCCCTGCAGCTAAATCAGATTCATAATTCAGAATCATTCACTATGGTTTATTCACTTGAAGGCGCTCAACGAAATGTGGCTATTCATCCGAACGTTTAAATTTGAACAGCAGTCACAATACCCCGTTCTGAGCGATCTATCTGAAGAAGAAAAATCAGGAGGTGGTTAATATTTTAGTGCATATAAAATACATGCGTAAACGTTATACCAGCTGCCAGACTTCCCATCAGCGTCGCACTTACTTACCAACAGGGTAAGTAAGCATGTCGTGACATCATTAACGTTTAGCCAAAAGCCTCATGAAACGTATTCAAACTTTCAAACTTTCAACTTTCAAACTTCAAACTTTTCAAACTTTTCAACTCAACACGCTCTGGCGTGAAGGAAAGGATCTCATCGGTTCAAATGCGATGTCTTGATAAATCTGCTACTTGAATCCGATGAAAGTAAATATTGAGAATGCAATGTGCGTAACAAAACGGTCAAGTCATTCCAATGATTCCAATGTAACAAGCTGTTATCCAGGGAACCTCCGTTAATTACCCCTCTTCTGGCTGCACAAATCTTACAAACGATCCGTTATCCCAAGTACCATATGTACCGGTGCTGACTGACAGGTCGGTCCGTGTCCCCCTTTTCCCGACCTGTCCATACAATCACCGCTGACGGCCGATCGGCGCGACAAAGGGCCGTCCCCGCCCGCCACTATTGCCGACTGAATGGGCTGCCGGCCCGCGGCAGGCCTGTTTTCGGCTCGGCATTCCTTATTCTGCGGAGCGGACCGGTCACTCTCCGTCCGAGATGGGTCCGCTGATGGCCACTACTGTCACTCAAAAGTCCGGACCGGTCGGCAGGGAGGGGGAGGATCTCCTCGCGCTGGGATGGGGAGGGGGAGCACTCCCCGGCAGGTGAGACCTTGAGTGAGACCGTCCCCTCCTTGATCCGCTTACCTACCCCTCCTGGACAATTCTGACGGTTCCGGGTCTAAGAGGCCAGGTTCCTCCTTCATCCACCTCTGTTTTGGGTTGAAAGGAAGACGGGTCCTACGGTCATAACAGCTTCACTACAGCACCGCAAATGACGCCTGATGGCAGCACATATAATCAATATGCGGCATTTGTTGATTTAAATATCAACAAGGTCCTTCAGAATGACATCTGACCGTAAAATCAACACAAAGGAGACTTGCTATCCGATTGCACGGTAAACGTATGGATCATATATCCCGAACCACTTTTTGTTAGGCCCTACTGAAGTTATTTCAGGTCGTGACTCGTGGGATAATTTATTAGGATTCAGGATAAATATCATTGGAGCCAACTCCTCCGACAGGTGGCTGGAATAGTGCACATACAGTTGCCAACATGTCCATTGTCCACGCATGCGTGAGCCGTGAACTACCCAGTCATGTGGCCCCTTCTGTCTTGTGCCATGGTTTATACCAAAAGCAACGGCTTATGGCCCAGTCCAAGACCATCAACAGGTGGTGAGCTGCTGGTGTCCCCCGTCTATATTAAACGGTAATAGCAAGGGTAGGGTAGACTCAAAGACAGTGATCGGAAGTCTGAGCTGACCTGAGCTAAGTGGAACTGAATCTCCTTGCACGGGCCTGACTCGAGCCCGGAACTGACCGGAGCTGGGTCGGGAGGGGGTTGACTGCTCGCACGGGACTGACCTGAGCTGGGTCGGGAGGGGACGGACTCGGGCCCGGGACTGACCTGAGCTGGGTCGGGAGGGGACGGACTGCTCGCACGGGACTGACCTGAGCTGGGTCGGGAGGGGACGGACTCGGGCCCGGGACTGACCGGAGCTGGGTCGGGAGGGGGTTGACTGCTCGCACGGGACCGCCTCAGGCCCGGGACTGACCTGAGCTGGAGCTGCCGGTGGCCGCCGCCCGCCCGCTGGCTCCCGTCGGGCTGGGACGCCGCTCCGACTGCTCCGGAGCCGGCGGGGAGGCGCGCTCAGATTGACTGGCACGGCTGGCCGGCCGGTCAGCGTCGGCAGCGGCCGACTGGCGTGACTGACGACCCGACTCGCGGTCCGCAGCTGTGGGACACGGGGCGGCAGACACGGTCAGACACGGGCCGGCACATAAAGCCCGACACAGGCCAGCAGACACGGTCAGACACAGTCAGACAGGTCAGCAGACATGGTCAGATGGACGGCCAGACGGATGGCCCGCCGGCCAGACACAGACGGAATCTACACTAATACATTATTGTATTTATTTTTTAGCACTGTCAGCAGCTAAAGAAAAACACTTCGAAATAAATCGAACAGTTATAAATAGAAGTCGGTGGGCATATCACCAACACAGCTATCGCTGAACAGGGCAACAAACAAACGGTACTCGTGGCAGCCATCAGCCAAAGCGTTTGGCCAACGAGGACAAACCAAAGACTCACCGATAAGGGCGCGCGCCGGGTAGACGCGGAGTCCGTTAAAGGCGTTGACGACGCGCGCGATGTGCGGCAGCTGGAGCAGCAGCTCGGCGCAGCTGCGGTAGCCGCGGCCCTGCCAGTCGAGCGGCTCGTCCGGCGCGGCGGCGTCGTGCAGACCCGGCAGCCGGTCGGCCGGCACGCCGTCCGGATGGGAGAGCAGCACCTGCGCCAGACGGCCGGCCACGCGCGCCGGCACCGGCTCCGGGCTGGTCCGGCCCGACGGCGGCTTCTCCGGCCGCTGCGGCTGCGGCGCCGGCTTCGTGGGAGACTGCGGCGCCGGCTTTGTTGGAGACTGCGGCTTCGACTGCATCGGCGGTTGCGGCTTGGACTGCATCGGCGGTTGCGGCCTCGACTGCATCAGCGGCTGCGGCCTGGCCTTCGGCGCGTCGTCGTCTGACGGAGATGTTTCCAGCGACCGGTGCCAGTAGTAGGAGGACGACTGCTGGGAGCGGTAGTTGGGTGGCCGCGCCGGCGTCGAGCGGCGCACATACCGCGATGCCAGCACGCGAGCCGTGGCGCCGCGCTTCTGCGACGGCTTCTGGCGCTCGACCATCTTCTGGATGTGTGCGGTGGAGCTGTCGGCGACGGCCGTCACCAGACAGTCGCCGCCGGGCAGCAGCTGGCACCGGCACACGTCCGGGATCGACTGCAGGAAGGCGCGCGCCGTCTGGAAGCCCAGCTGCCGGAACGGCAGCGGGCTGAACACGAGCGACTGGTAGTCGCGGTACAGGTCCTGGATGGCCAGGCCCGACTTGGCCGAGATGAGCAGGCTGCGCACATCGCGCTTCACCTGCGCCATCAGCTGCTCCCGGTCGCCGGAGGACGCCATCGCGAGCGGGGCCTGCGCGCAAAACACCCTCGTCAGACATAAAGATCATGAACAACTGCTACTCACTGGGAGGGCGTATCTTTTGAGGCAACAAGCTCAAGCCGGAACCGTAAGTGTTAACTGAAAATGTACTCCTCTATACAGGAGTTCCGCACAGCTAAAAACAAAGCCATGCATAACGCCACGTTAGTTCGGAACTGTGCCATCCGGTATCAGTTTCGAAACAGCTGAAATGAAATTCGAATAACTATGTACGTGTAGGTGTTGACAGTTTTTTTTTAAACGAGGGCCACTCCATTACTGATGACAGCATCTAAATAAGCTACTCGCAGAAACTTGAGCTTAAATACAGCTACAAATAAAACTTTGTTCATCAATCGCATGCGTTTTCCGCGACGCCGCACTGTAGCTTTTATTTTATGAATTATGTATTAATTTGTAAAATTGTCAAAATGGGGAAAGTTTAACCGTAAAATGTTGCCTTTGATGGTCTTCACTCTTCAGAGACCTAAACGTTGACCTGAGCGATAAGTGGCAGTTATGCTTCCGAAAGAACTTTATAAAAAGCTATGGATTCACGATTGCCTTTTCTATCTTTCTTAGTTTCTGAGGTTGGGTTAAAACGCCATCTTCCCTTCCCTCCTACCATAGCGAAGTTGGGTGAGACCCATACCCGGGCGCAGAGCAAACATACGGGTTTTAAATCACTCAAATGTTCCTACCGCCTATGACAGTTTGCAGTTTTAAGCACGGTAGAACTGACCTTGCGACGTCTGTTGAGCGGACGGGACGGGCTGAAAATACGACTGGATCCGACTATGCCCCGCGACACGATGGATACTGTGTGTCCCCCTCAAATGGTCCTGTCCACAGGCGCCGCCACCGGCGGTTCTGACGTCACAGAGGGGCGCGCTCAAAGGGAGGCAAACAGGCGCTGAGGGACGCGGCGAGGACCGTGATTAAATTTTGACAGGTTGATGGAGTTGGAGACGGGAGAAGGCCCGCTGCAGTTTGCTGATCAACACTACAGACCCACCACCCGATGAAATCGCCCGCGCTCGATGGCCGATTTACAGGAATATTTCATTCAGACATCCAATTTCTAATGTAAGGTAGGTACTAGGCATGCTACTGTCATGGCTATCGACCGGCACAAGAGGCGACAGGTCACCTTTTTAACCCGCGCCCTGCTGGGGGGGGGGGGTGTTTGAACACCCCCCTTGTGGTTTTTCGCGAATATCTCAAAAACGACGGCGCGGAGCGCCGCCGTTTTTGTTACACCTTATCATACATCAATTCTACACATGTTGTGAAAATTTCAGACCAAGGTCATTCAAGGTCAAGTCACCAGGTCACTTGAAGTGACCTCACCTCATAAAAAGTTTCAATGTCTGTCATAGCTACACCGAGTGACCGATCGCTTTGAAACTTTCAGCGATTGCTAAGAGCAATAGCATGTACAAAATGTATATCTCAGAATTTTGATATCGATGACCTAAGGTCAGGTCAATTTTGCGACCTCCCCATAAGTCAATGGGAGTCAATATAAGTCAATGGGAGAAAATTGAAATGCGCCTCTTTTGGACAAAAGACATTATAAACACTCCCAAACACCGAATTACAAGTGGTTTAGACACACTGAACATGAAAATGTTGTCCGTGACCCTTGTTTATGCCCTGAGGTCATCTTAGGTCACGAATGGTATCTAACAGTTTTTCGCAAATAACTTTTGATAGAGGCATGCTAGAGCGATGAAAACGCCTTAGATGTGTTCAGCTCGACGATACGGATCGACTGATATGCAACATGACCCTTTCCGGTCAGGTCATGACCTTGACCTGAGGTCAAATTTTCAAGTTGACCTTTCAAGGTCAAGTTATAGTTCATTCGATGCGTCTTGACGAGAGGAACACGATGACGGTAAAAGTAAGCTCGTACAAGGCTTGAGTCAAAAGTTATTGCAGAAAAACTGTTTCCGAAAAAAATCGGCTATTTTTGCAGTTTTTGCCCCTGCATGCAAAACCGTTGACGTTAGGTCAAATCTGAGAGAATTACTCAGAAAGGGCTTTAATAGGGCTATCGAATGCGCTTTTCCGCGGCGCTGTAGCTCTATTGGTTTTCGAGTTATGCGTTGGCTTCTTGGAAATTTTCGACATTCGACCTGGAAATCGGCGAAATTTTGCCTTCAATGACCTCTGGTGACCTGACCTTTGACCTGACCAAAAAAATGACCGAAGTGATTTCGTCATTATTTTTGACGCTCTTTCGAACGCCGCCTTCCGCGTATCGCTACGTAGCCCAGGAGCCGAGTTACAAGGGGGGGGGTGTTCAAACACCCCCCCCCCCCCAGCAGGGCGTGGAAATCCAGGACCCCCAGCCGGGCGCGGGTTAAGATCACGGTCGCACGCGCAAACATAATTCCACTGCGCCCTTCTCAGAAATGTCTCCACTTTACCTTTGAAATAGCCTGCAGTAGATGCTATAGGCTTGAAGTGTCCCCAACTAAGCACGCTGATAAAAACGACTCCAAACGACGCTATTGTCTCGAGAAAGAGATCACCGGTGAAGGTCATTTACCCCGCGTTCGATGTCTCTCGGACGGCGAAGATTCTACGCCGTCCGTCCAATCACATTTCATAACCGCAGCCGAGCCGCCGCTGACCTTGGACGGGATTGGCCGGACGGCAAAGAATCTTTGCCCTCCGGGAGACATCGAACGCCGCCTTCGATTGGGGTCATGGAATTTTGAGTGTAGGTGTAGAACTGATTAACTCGGCTCGGTGGTAGTGGAATTTACGTTGTGATACGCTGCTCCTTCCGCGAGTAATTCGTGAAAACCGGAGGGATTCATCCGCGATTGAAAATTGACATAGCACTGCAAAACGAGGACTAAAAAATCGACTGCTGAAGTTATTCTACATGTACCTAAAGGTTTATGAAATTCACAGTATGTACGCCAAAATATGGCCATAAGACCCAGGGATAGAGAATATACGATTTTTTGTGCTTGAGCACCCTCTTAAATTAACATATTTCTATATACATAGATTTAAAGGATGATGTAGTAATGCTCCAGTGGTGCTTGCCTTTCATCTGAGACACAAACTGTTTTGTGTAAGTTGCGAGGACAGTGATGCTGTTGGGAAAGCGTAGCTGTATGTGCTTTAGCATGCAAGAAGTTATCTCTGCCAGTCGCAAGGTGCTAGAAAAGCACCCCCTTGAATTATGAGAATTATCCACCTCTAGCGATAGGACTGTTCGGCACACCCCATGGAGGACGTTATGCTTTGGCCCTTCTGCTATGCCACCAGACAGGTAGCCAATGAGCGCCAATCAGGCCTTACGCCGATGTATCAAGACCCCATGAGCTGTGCTTAGTATACGAATCAGATTTAAAGTCATATTCTGTTGCAAACACCAAACATCGCAGCAGAGCGATTCGTGACGAAATGCACCAGCGGCCATAGACCCGGGAACAGGGGGGGGGGGGGCAGCGGGGGCGCTTGCCCCCCAACTTGAGAGCCGAGGGGGCGGCGCCCCCTCAACATTGAGGCAGCGTGAAAGGATCTTTCTTCCCTTTTCCGGACTTCTTTCCTTCTTGTTTTCCATCTAAACATCATCACACGGCATTTTCCTAGCCATCTGAATGGTTTCTGCTGATACAGTATCGATTTCACAACATCTGCTATTGTCATCCCGCTTTGGTTTGGGCCTGGCCTTGGCCATGAGTTTGGCAGGCCAGATTTTATACTAGACCATTTTGAGAAAACTTTGAGAAATATATAACGTACAACGGTGGTAAAATCGTTGCTATAATATAGGTATAACACAGTTTACCCGCTCCGGGTGTGAGGGAGGGGTGTGGGGCAATGAGTGCACTGACGCACACAGCCGCTATCCGAGTTCAGAAGTGGCCAATACCCTAATTTTCGACAAATTTTAAAGCGGGCCTTTCTCACATTTTCTGGTCGTAAATTGATCAGACTGTATAAAATATCATCCAGAAAAAATATTACTCATTCTGGCACAGATTGGTGGGCTCCCAAAGTACACCGTTTTGTTTTGCTCTGTGAGACCGAACTTGTGCTGCGATTTTCATGTAAATGTTGACGAGTCTCCTGTCATATTCTTTGCTTGAAAATGCGTAAGTAAGATATCAACTAAAAGGGGAAAATGTGCGGAATCCATTGGCAATAAAAGTGCATCTAAAAAACTTCCCACTCAGTAATTGCAAGCTAATTGTTGCACACTTGCACAAAGCAGAAGGGCTTGAGGATTTCAATATTTACATAGGCCTACCAAAAAACGCACAGCGTGCTTCACATCGAGACAACGTCCATAACATATACCGTACAATTGTGATTCATTTGCTGAAAAAATTAGGTCGGCATCACACCGCCGGCAAAAGTTATTGCAGTTTTAATGACGCTAGGTCGCCGCCCGGCCGACCCCGGTCAGGTCGGCCGGGCGGCGGCCGTGCAGCTGACGTCCGTGCGGTTCGGCAGCTGACCAATCAGCTGCGAGAGAGGAGCGCGGTCCGTCTAATCGCCCCCGGCAGTTGCCTGTGCGGAGGGGTGCTCGACGCTCGTGTCGATTGCATTTGTTGGTTGTCGATTGTCGATTGACTTGTGGGTATACTTTCTGGTGACCAATAAATGTACGTCGTCTTAACTGAATGTAGTCTGATCAAATTCAATAAAGCAAAAAGACATCCAGCCAACAGAACATCGTAAGAATGTCCGATTTGGTTGATAACATTCAGAGTTTTTGGGAGCAGCCATTGACCAGAATGAACCTTATTGGCTTTTGTACGTAACGTTTGCATTGCTTTTGGAAAGTTTCAGTCATATCTTCAGAAATGGCAATGTTATCGGCTTTTGCATTTTAACGTAGTCGGTTAATCACAATTTTCGATATTGCAAAGGCAATTTCAGTACGTTCTTGACATCGAAAACCAAAACGAATAGCATCATCGTGTTCAAGAGCTCAAATTGCATCCGATGCACATCTT